ATACTGAAATTTAGTTTCTCTTTGAAATTTATTTAGTTTCGTCTGAGGTTATATTTTACAACTTTTTTTTTTTAGAAGATAAATTTAATGTGAGTGGCTTTTAAAAGAACACTGAAAGTTGAGCTTTAATACTTAAAGATGTTTTGTTTTCCTCTGGTCATTTTTGCCCAGGGACCTAGAAAACCATTTCCACTGAGAGATGATCTAAAAGCCCCATTTCTCACAAAATGCTTCACTTCTTACCCAGAGGTGGTTCTCTGTAGCATCATAGAATCTTTCCTTATCAATTAATGGTGTCACGCTTCTTTACCTTGATAAGCTTGAATTTCAGGTTTTACATTCACGCCAACATTACTTTCCACCTTTATGGACAGCCTGCTGCATAAGCCAGTTGGGTGGTGCAATATGATAAGGCAGGCAACTTCTTAGGATCTTACACTCTTAGAAATGTAGAGCCGTACAGCTCTGTCTATCTGTAAATCAGACTTCTGGCATCCCTAACCCTTCCAAATGTAGCTGTGAACCCCGCCGGAGGTGAGAGGTGGGGAGTGGGGGAGAAGCCCCAGAGTAGCTGAGATCACTGCTCCAAATCCAGGAACACTATGCATTCAGCTAGAAATGAACTCAGAGTCTTAACTGCACTAATTTGAGGCTCATTTAAATTCACTTGGGTATCTGGTTTTTCCATCTAAGGAAGATGGAGGCTCTACTAAAGGCAAGCATGCTGCTGCTATCGAGAAATGATTATAACCTGCCGTCCTAGCCAGAGACAGACACACAGAAAGTGGAGCACAGCAGAGTACAGAGCACTGGACTAGTGCATGGGCTGCCACCTGCATCTTAGGAGGCCTGAGGGTGGCCCTCGGTCATCACAACAGTGGCATAAGTAATGATGAATATTCGCCATCAAGGAAAAGCTAAATCGTTTCATTTATTTAAGAAAGAGAATCTTTTCTTTTTTTGTTCCAAAGAGTTTATTCAAAATTGGTTATACAAAGATTGCTCCTTGAAGGGAGAACATTTCCATTTTCTGGGAACCCCAGATTCACCCATTTTTTCCTGACCATTGCCAGAACAAAATGCTGCTTATGACAAAAATTACCTTGCTCAGACTGGTCATCCACTCTGTTTGCCACACCTGATTCCACACGTCTTTTGGTTATTTCATATAATTAAATTCCCCGTCAAAAAATAATGCCTCATATTCTTTGATTACTTTTGGTCCTCCATTTAAGGAATAAGTACATACTTTTGAAATTTATTCAGCAAAGTTTTGTTTCAGAAGTTTCATAGACCATGAAAGGTATTATAGCAAAGTATTAACATAAACATCAAATTTCATAGCCATTATTTACCTCTTAGTATCCCTCTCTTCCATCTAAAAAATAATGCTGCATTTCCTGTTTTCCAGTCTCTGCTTGTTGTCTTGTTGTTTTTCCAAAATTGCTGAAGGTGATCAATGAAGAGTTTTCATTATCATATGATTTGTTTGTATTCACATTTTCCTTCTGTTATCTAGACTGCTGATGGGAAGTTGCAACTGTTAGAGTAAACCTATCAAAAATGTCATCTGGAAATTCCTCCTTCCCTTTTTAGTTCCCTAATGAGGGGTGGAGGGGGAATCTTGATTAACAGATGCCCTGGCAGTCCCCTTTGTGTGAATGCGGCTACATTAAAAAGAATGTATCTTCATGATCACACAGGAGAGCTGTGTCTCTGCACTCCATCCACAGACCTCACCCTTAATCAAAGTTTAAACTTGGGTGCAGGGAGAGTTTGGAAGCCCAGCACTGTCCTGCAGCCTAGCCCCATTTCCTCTCTCTACTTGGTGACCACTTCTTCTCTTTGTGAATGAAATATTGTCCCTGTGTGTTTCCTCTACTCCTCTTTTCCTAGTAACATGTATTGGTCGTTTTTATTTATTGTTTGAAATGTTAGTGCCACCTTCCCTGTTCACTTGAAAACAATGATGCAGAGTTATGGGCTGAACATCTTTTTCCTACTCAGTTTAAGCAATGTTGGGCATCACTGAATGAGGGGTGAGGCAGGAGGGAAAGGGGTTGGCACATGTGCAGGGAGTTGCTCAATAGGACGGGAGGTGCTCCTGTGGACAGCTGGCCCAGCACCCCATCCCAGCTTTTCCATCATTATTTGTCTTATTTCTGCCAACTCTGGCAGCAAATCTCACCTCCAGAGACACATTCTTTCTTCCTGTCTAAAATGTGGAAAAAATTCCTTGTCATCAGAGTTTTGTTGAAATAAAACTGACATTTGGAAGAAGCCGCATTTGCTAGGAAGCTGGGGGAAGGTGCTGAAGTGAGCTCGTTCTGGGTGCTCGGGTTCGTGACCCCCCGTGTACGCTGTGGGGCAGAAGGGGAGGGAGCTAGCTGGCTGTCCAGGGGCTCCAGGGCAAAGACCTGGCTTCCAGGGCACTGTTCTCAGCGCTGCGCCGGCCGCCTCCAACAGATTGTCCCAGTGCTGCTGCTCAGTGTGTCCCAGGGGAACCAGGCCAGTGGGTGGCAGAGCCAGCCTGCGTAAGTGCATTCTAGCAAATTCTCCGTGACCCTTCTTCTGCTGAATTTGAAGAGCAACTACTGGAGGTTCTGGCACTTAGCCTTCCAGTCGTGCAAGCCCTTGAGCATATCTAGAGGTGCCCTAGGATGTGGTGAGAGATACACTGCAGTCATACATGGAAGAAACTGCAGCAGAAACCAGAAGTCCAGTTTGCACTTGGGCCTCCAGTGTCATGGGGAGCCTGTGGCAGCAGAACAGGGAGGTGTCCATTCTGCAGCTCATGGGGGCACTCCTGGGCCTCCCAGGACCTTTGCACGTGCCATTGCATATGTGCTGCTCTTCTTTCACCCTCTGCCACATTTACCTCAACAGGAAAAGTATAAATGATTATTTATCTTTGAAACAATGCTCAGCTGTCAACCCACTCCAGGAAGATGTCCACACCCTTGCCCTCCAACCCCAGAACCTCTCTGGGGCACAGCTTTACCTCTGCAAGCCTGGGTAGTTATGTAACATACCCCTATAATATGCTTGCTTATGCGTACCTCTCCTACTAGCCGTTGAATGTGATTGTCCTTAGAAAATCAAGCCACACCAGTGCCTGGCCTGGAGTTACTGCTCTATAAATGATTGTTAAATGAACGGATGAGCTAGAGGATCTTGTAAGAGTTCTTTGACGCATGTTCTCCTTAGTTTTGGTCATCTCTGCTCCGAGGAATGGCTGGATTTGTTTTTGTGTAAAATTAAATATGTTTGTATTAGATTCAGCTTCCTGTGATCCATATAAAAATGTGTTTTAAGAACAAAATAAGTACTGTAATGAGAAAGTTAAGATGTTTTGGTGATCTAAATACTTGTGAAGTGCCATTTTGTTTTGTTTTGTTTTTTTAATACCACAAAGTGCATTAAAGAGCTCTAAGTAAATTTAAGAGGGGATCTACTGGATTTTGACTAAGTGCTAAAACAAGTTTCCTTAATTCCCTGTCCAAATATTTCAACTTAAATTTACTAGTAGCTATTTCAGAGGAAGACGGGAACTCTGCAATCCACTGTTTGTTATAAAGAAAATGTTTTTGTCTTCAAATATTTGGAGGAAGGATTAAAGGGAATTTATGGCTTGGGTAGAAAGTAATAAAAGTGGTAACAATGGTGTGTCTTCTAAATTGTCACCATTTTCTGGAAGTACTAACAATATCAACTCAGCAGGCATTTTTGTGTCCAAAAGGAATTACTTTCATTTGTCAGACTTTAATGTAAACTCCAACCTCGATCTTGGAGCTGCAGTACTATATTATTTGTTTCATTCTATTGTTTAAAAATGGATTCATTCAGCTGTATGGGAGATGAATTCTATCATTATGCTTTTTACCACAGGGCTCAAGAAATATGATCCATTTCTTTCAGGAAATAGGCTTCCAGAACGACATAAAAAAGTCTTTTATGAAGATAAATCACAGCCTTTTTAGTTTCTCCAGAAATACTACATTTTTAATTCCCAAGGAAAATCACAAAAATAAAAAATAAATGAGCCTGAAAAGTTATTTTCCTTCTCTGGCATCCCTTTTTATTAAAAGAATCCCAGTTTACAGATTTCCTCCTACTTGTGTATTAAAACAGCCATACATAACTATTTTTTTATTTTGCAATTTTATAAAGCCCCTACTCTAAAAGAACTTTTTAAATAAATTTTTTAAATCTTTGCACAACTCTATGTAGTAATAAAGTAAAACTATTATATACTATGGAGCCCTTAGACTGGTTGAGAGAATAGAAGGATCGGTGGTACTATGATATCACCCAATGTTAAAGAGCAGCGCCAGACCTTAATTCAGAACTTACCTCCAAATAATGTCCTCTTTTAACTATACCTCTGATAAATTCAATACTGTTTTCCTTGGAGTATGTGTTTAAAAAGAAATCTTAGACCCTTAAAATGTTCTTATGAAACATTATTGCTCACTCTTTATTTTCTGTCACTTGATTGGTTCCCATGCTTGATGAAGCTCAATTTAAAAATAAAACCGCCCAAATATACATTGCAGATTACTTTCATGCATGGGTAAGTGTGATGTGGAAAGTGAATCTGAAATCGTTTTAAATAAGTGTATGAGTTCTTATGTTGTTTTTCTTTAATTAATGCTTCTGATGTATCTAATAGTGCCAATCTTAGTACCCTCACCTGAAAAAGAGGGATATTTCTTTAACTTTTTATATATAAGATTCTTTTAATATAGGATGAAATGCTTACATGAAAATATTCATGTGTTTGTATACTATTCCATTTGACATCTTTTTATTCCAAGTTAAGAACCCCTGGATGAATTAGCCTCTAGCTCTAACATTCTGTGGTTTCGAATCAACGTCAGATAATGTTTCTGTGCATGTGGTATTATTTTCTCCAATAATTCAAACCCTTAATGAGTTGACTCTGGCTTACCTTCTATAAGGTGGATTGCAGCCATCTGTGTAGGTCTTTGTTTAAATTCATGTATCTTTTCCCCACCCAGACTGAAAGAAGCTGAAGAGGTGTGCAGACAGAAGAAGGGAAAATCACTTTATAAAATAAAACCAAGACATGACTCTGGAATTGTAAGTGTGTAACTCTTCTGTTTTTTAACTTGTAATTTTCTTTAGCTTTTAAACACTGTTTTTACAATATATCCCAACTCATATAATAAAACTCTAATTATTTTCCTCTTCAGTTTGGATGACTTAGAGAATCTGTTTTTCTTTATGCCCTTAATCAATCCCAGGAGGCTAAGAGATTCTCAGGATTCGGCATTTGAAGCTAAAGCATTAAGATGAATCTAAGAGAGTGCACAGATGTGGAAGTGCCTGGTTGGGTGGGAGTTGGGGGCAACCTTCCACTTTGTTCACTGCCCAGGGGTCCCAGCACAGGGCTGTGTCTGAACCCAGAGTGGTCATCAGAATTGGATCGGTCCCACTGGCATCTCAATCATGATGAGACAAGCCACGTGCAGTGCTGTCCTTTGCTCAGACCCAGGGCTCAGACCTGGCCTGTACGCATCAGTGGTCTACAGTGGTGGCTGCTTAGAATCTGCCAGCCAGCCAGCCAAGCTAACCAGCCAATCCCAGCTCTCTCCTTGCCCATTTTCCCTTTACAATTAAATGCCAGGTTGTGTGCCCTAGGAGGGGATGGCTTGGTGAGAATTACAGTTTTCCCTTGTGATACTGTCAGTCTTCATTGAATGTTTTCAGGATTATCATTTGGTTCCACAAAAGTAAATGATGCTTTTTTAAATGAAAAGTTGGATTAGGCCTTAAAACAGGAACGCTATGAATGGGATCAGCCTCACATCAGCTATGGAAAAATTAGTAAAATAATCCAAATTGGGAAATGATTTAACAGTCCCATTTAGAAAAATGTAGGAATTATATCTTCACTTAAGAGATATTTTCCCTTAAGTTTCTCTGTCAAAAATTCATCTTATCTAATGACAAGTATTATATTTATTATATTATATCATATCATATCATATCATATCATATCATATCATATCATATCATATTATATATATTATGGTTTAGTTTATTTCCTGTTTTTTAAATTAAAGTACAACTTTCAAGGTGTATTGAATGAGGAGGAATACTCGTGTACTGATTAACCTCAATCATGCCATTACAAGGACAGGAAAGAGTTAAATCACTTAACCAAGTAATGAAGTGGCCAATTCAGGTTTTATTGTTACGTATTTGCATATAGAGTTGAGAATGAGAAGCGCAAGTTGACACTCTCTCAGGCCAAGTAGAAGCTGAAGCTTAAACACTTCTTTTTTTCTCAAAAATATTTGGTAATCTGTCTTGGTGAAAATCCTTATGAAAAAAGGAAAACTACTCATACTGTTTTCCTGTATGGGCTGGTTGATCTTAACCTTTTCCCAAAGAATGTGATCCAAATGAAAAGATCTTGTTTGGGCTATTCCTAACTCGATACATTTTTTTAAAGCTCTTCTTTCTAACTGTAACTCTTATCTGGTGCTTTTATTTTCAGAAAGCAAAGATAAGCATGAAAACCTGAACAATGCAAAGCAGAATGGAGATAAGTCACGGCCACCACTTCCACAAATTCAGCTGACCTGAGGGCAGGAAGGAAACTATATCATTTCGTTCATTTTTCTTCTTGACCTCTTGCATAATCTTTGTGTTTTCTAGACAGTTCACTGATTATTGAATTTTACTGTACATTCATATAAAAATGCAAAAGTGGTAGTAGCCCAGTGGAGAATTTGACACCTTTTCTTTTTGTAAAAGTTTATGGTATTATACCGATTGACCGCAACAGCATGTGTAGGAGGCAGTATCTGCATTAATGCTAACATGCTAAACATTAACCTAAAACTTACTTTTGTGAGAGTATTCCTTATCACAGAAACACTTTCCTTTCTACTGACAGCCAGTACTCCACATCAGTGCATTGAGATTTATGGTTAAAATGTTATTTCTAGTGAATTGTTTGTATCAGTTTCACATCTATGTAGAAAATTTTCTATTTTAAAATTTAAGTACCATTTATATGTTGTGATCAAGGCTTTCCCACCTCTTGGGTTGCTCTCCATAATAATTTTTTTTTGAAAGAAGATGATCAATTTTTTTACTCAAGTCAGATAAAGAATAGAAAAAAAATAGCAAAAGAAAAACCCTCTCCTATCCATCACTTCCTGTAAAACGTGACTAATTGTTGGCAAAAAAAAAAAAAAAGTTAAGTTTTCGGATGGATTGGTTTCTGCCTAGAACCTGGTAAGTGAATACACCTGCCTGAGTACTTTGACGTGATTGGGGTCATCTTCATGCGTGTGGCAGGTGAGTAAAAGCGGTGAAATGAGTACATAATGTTTCGTTACCAGAAAGAGCCAAGAATTTTTTTTTCAACAACAATAGCAAAAAGCTGTTTTTTATTAAAACACATCATTGTCCATAAAATAAAGTACTATCTCTTCAGAATAGTAAGGCTATCAACTAGCTATTCATAAATGAGGGAGACATTTTCTCATTGACACAGTGAGTGAAAAAGATGCAGAATGCAGATCCTTTTGGCATAGACTTATTTTCTCTGGCTGTCTAATACGTTTCTTTGCTGCGTTAATCTTCTTGCATCAGAACCATCATGACAATTTGCTTGAAGACACAGCTTTTTGTCTGTAAGATTCCTACCTTCCTTCTTCAGAGCCTAGGATTTTTATTCTGTTTTGCTTTGAGGAGAAAAAGAGTAAATCTCCTACTCTTGCTGAGAGTATATTAAAGTCACCTCATGATGCATTATGATGGTTTGGCCTACCATTAATAGGTGTTTGGTTTTTTTAAATTCTTTAATGATATCTGGTGGAGATTATAGTACATAAAGGTGAGAATTTCTTGCTATTGCAAACTGATTATGGAAAGCAACTTAAAAAGAAAACGTCCTGAGTCATAACTCTGTTTGTGTTTACGTAAAGTATGGTCTCTTACCTTTTATTTTGTAGTTTATGTGCACAGAAACAGTAGTGGGTTTGTTTGTTTTGTTCTCTTCCTGTCCCCTCAGTCCCTCCAATGTGTATATTACCATTCTTCAATCAAATAATAGGGCATTTAACAAAGATCGCTATGTGCAATACTGTATCTAGTGTTTCTATTTCAATTTTTATAGGATGTTAATTTATATGAAAATAAAATGAATAATCAAAGAGTTCTGTGCCTATCATGTGCATGTTGCCTGAGGATACTGGCAAAACACAACTATCATGTTTACCTGAGCAGAGGGCTGAGATAAATTTTAGACTGCTGGCATTCAAAGAGTTTTTTAAATTCTTATTTCAGGCTTAATGGTTGTTGTAGTTATTTGATAACTGCTTATTTTTAGAGCTAAAGTAATCATTCTGCTACATCAAAACATATTTTGGAAGAAAGTTGAAGTTTTTCTTGTGCCATTTTAAGAAAGAACTATTTCCCACTTATGAACACCAGTATATTGATATTTGAGAAATATTTTTTGTCTATCAGTTGGAATCTAGATGCGGAAGTTCATTTGATACAGGTTGTGTGGTGAAGGGCTACTGGAAGACAATAAGGCAAAAGGAAAATTGGGATGTAGAAGGGATAGATGGAAAGGGTAACAGAGGGAATGAAGCCTGCCCACTCGCTAGTGTAGAAACACTACTTTCTTTCTCTTCATAAATAAGCTTTCATTTAGGTCTGACCTAATTATTCCATAGAAAAACCATTTATCCCCTGTACATTGGCTTGTCATCTACCTTGTACCAAAGCCTGGTGCTTAAGGTGCACATCCTCAAGAACTTAATCAAGGTGGGAGGAAAGAGGAGTGTGAGGCAATGATTACAGTTCATCAGAACATCCCGTTCAGAGAGCGCAAAGGCTAAATCTAGAGGGATGAGCAGGAGTGAGGGAAGTGAAAAAGACAAATCTGCCGGCAGCAAGACTCAGAGCACATGGAACGCATCATTTCTTTTAGGAGTTGCAACTCATTCAGGTTTAGAGGGAGCAGGGTGTGAAGGAGAAACAATGAGAGGAGATGTTGCTAGAGATGCATAAAAGGATTCTGTGGTTGTAACACATGTAATGGTATTATAGTTTGGGGTCAGGGTATCTGAAGAGTCATCTGCACCCTAGCTCTTCATAGTAGGTGGTGGTCCACAGCACTGGCTTCAGCTGGGATCTTGTCTGAAATGCAGTCCTGAAGGATTTCCAAAGGCTGGTGAGGAGGGGATAGTGACGCATTTCTAGAAGAGGAAACAAGCTGAGAAAAAAGCTTGGAAAACAAATGCAAAATAGCCTTCCTGGCTGGTGGAATAATTCATTCCGCATAGAGGATAGCAGGTGGGGTATAAAGAAGAGTTAAGTGTTGTGGACAAACAGGTAGGATCAGGGGCTAGATTGTTGAAGACTTTAATGATAAGAAACATGATGCAGTAGATCGTGGAGCCAATACATCATTTAAAAATGGTTTTAGTTTAATAAAGCTTGCTCTGATACCAGTGTGGAGGAGTATAAATCCAGAGGCCAGAAGATCTTTTAAGAGACCTGCAATTCAAAAGAAGAAATTAGACTTATGTATGATCTTACTAGCAGAGGTGGAAGCTTGGAGCTGAAGAAAAAATGCTAAGTAGGTGAAATAGACATGAGAACTTGAATCTTTAGATGTGAAAAATAAGAAAGGTTTAATTTACAGTAGTTTGGTTTCTCCACTGTGTTGTTTGGTGAAGATCATCCATAAAGACAACATGGGAAATGCTTCTGGAAGTTTCTTTGTAAATGTCAGTGTGCTTCTAAGAAACCTCTGATAAGTCTATCAAGATAAGCAGCCCCCAAGACTTTATCGCCTTGATCAACTTTATTTTCTTTATCACAGTCACACCACTTGATGTTACTTAGTTATGTGGCTCTTAGTATATAGTCTGTCACCACTCAAATTTAAATCCAGAAAGACAGAGATGTTTTTCCCCTCAGTACTAAATATATAACATTAACAGCAGTATGTGGCACTCAAAGATTTATTGATTTAGTAAATAAATAAATGAAAAGAAGAGAAAGTTCAAGACTGGAGGGAAATGAAGAATCCATGATGTGTGCTGGACATCCAGTTGGAAATTCCACTTTCCAGATAGAGGATATTGATCAGGAACTCTAGAGATTTTGATATAAGAGCCGCCTGTATTGGTAGTTGAAATCAAGTAGGTTGTTGAAATTGCCTAGGAAGTCAGGAGTAGATTTTTTAAAATGCTAACTGAGGTCAGGTTGATACCAGTGTTTAAAAGAGAAACAGAAATAGGTCACAAAAGGAACTTCAGGAAAATTAACCAGGAAATAAACAATGATAACCATGAAGAAGTAGGAGTCAAAAAGTATAGGAGTCAAAGCAAACAGCACTTCAAAAGAAACTCCACTGACACCTTCCTTCTGCTCTTCAAAATACTCTTATTGAAACTAACAAATGTATGCAATATATGTAATGAATTGACTTCCTCAGTATTCTATTTAAAACTCTGCTATAGGAAAGCAGTGTAGGAAAGACATTTTAAACAGAAGTTCTCAGTTCACTGCAAGAATGAAGGCAAAGTAAAGACACTTGCCCATATAAGAAAACTATGAGTGTTTGTCACCAACAGCCCTATTGCTACACAAATGTCAAATAAAGTTCTTCAAGTTAAAGGGAAATTATTCCAAAGGAAAATAAAGTGCATGTTCAGGAAGAATAACAAGCACTGGAGATGCTAAATGCCTAGGGAAATACAAAAGACTAGTTATTTTGCTTTTAAACACTGGCAGTTTAAAGTAAAAGATATATGACATTGTCTTAAAGAGTTTATAATGTATTTAAATGTACTACATAAGAAGGTATAAAGGATGACACAGGGTGGTGAAAGAAATTGCAAGATGTCTACATTTTACATGAAATGGTATAATATTAACTCCAAATACTGTTAAAAAACTTAAGGATGTATAGCTTCACAATGTTAGTACAACCACTAAAAAGTAACAGAAAGACATATAGCTAAAAAGCTAATAGATATATTAAAATGGAATTCAAAACATTCTGAATAATTCAAAGAAGACAGGTAAGGGATCAGAGACAAGAAAATTAGAAGAGACAAAGGACAAATAGCAAGATGGAACCTTGTACATCACTTTATCAGTAATTACTTTACATGTAAAATGGACTAAACACCATGTAAAAGGCAGATATTACCACATGGTACTTTTTTTTGAAAAGGCAAGATTGTACAGTCTACAAAAAACATACTTAAATCAGACACAAATAGGCATAGTTATAAGTATGTATTGATAACAGCTTTAGAACAAATGAAGTAAAAGTTGAGAGAATTAAAGAAGAAATAAACAATTACATAATCATAGTGGAGGTTTTAGCATGCCTTTCCTACCACTAATAGAACTAGACAACCAATCAGTAAGAGGGGATAAGGGGGAGAGAGAGAGCATGCACTTGTAGACAAGGAAGGAGAGAGGGAATGAGGAAGAGAGCATAGGTGAGAGAGGAATCTCACTACAAGGTAATGGGAACTAATGCCCCATTTATGGGGGGAAACCAAACCAGGCTCACTATGGGAGATGTAGGAATAGAGTGGGGCTCACCTACCAGTGAGTCAACTGAATAGCTACAGGGGGTGCCACATGTTGTGGCAAACAAAGCATGTGTGACATTTCAGAGCAAACACAGCCAGCTACCCTGTTGGCACCTCTTTACACCTGTAATATCTCCAATATCACTGCCACACAAGGGCCTCATTCAAAGGCTGGTTTGGGTTAGAGAAGACAGAAAATGACTAAATACAGAGAGGTAAGGGGAGAATGAATGTGAGCACCCTCTCAAGGCAAGTCTGTAAAACACTTTCCAAAGCACATGAGGAAAATTGTCAGTAAGAAAGAATAAAGCAGCTCAATGAGTGAAAGTGAATTCCCTTTCAAAAATATAAACAAAAGGGCAAAATGTCAATGGTTTAATAATTAATGTTTAGCATCTCCAAAGGTTTGAAATATGTAATTCTTGAAATAGAAAACATATAAATGAATAATTCTAGATAAATAATTTTAGATGGACACAAATTAAAAAGCCATTAGTGATTTGGAAGATAGCGCTAAGGAATTCACTGAGGTCATATCCCAGTTAAAAAAGAAAAAGACAGAGTAGACTTAGAGACTCCAATCTGACAGGCATCCAAAGGAAAAATTGAAGGCAGTGTTAGAGATGCCAGCTAACAGCTTGAAGAAACAATGG